TAAATAAATATGTTTATTTTACTAATATGCTTGACTTATAAATATCTATTTTTATTATTTTAGACGATTCAGTTCAAAGTTAACTAATAACAAACAGTGGATAAAAGAAAGGAGTCATGAATCATATGCAAAAAATTATTCAATTGTTTATCCTCATGATGAACCATTAGCATCTCGTAATATGAGAAAAGATCCATTTCATGAGGTATAATATTTTTCTTTGTTTTACTTACAATATTACACAGCAAAGCAACCCCAAATTATAAATTAAGCAAATGATAAACCCAGAATTAATCAAAATTACTTTATATATTTAATTAAACATCAAACTTATAATTCAAATATAATTTTTATTAGGAATTATTAAATAATGGATGCATATTTCAAGAAAGACTTGGATGGGAAAGACCAGGTTGGTTTACAAGAGAGAGTGTAGCTCCAGTAAGTTTTAAAACCTAAAATTTATTTAATCTTTATTATCGTAAAATATTTTTTCAATACAATGAAATACAATAAAATGAAAATGCATATGATAAAAATCTGTTTATTAATTTTCTGTTTCTGTTCCTTTTTATTAATTTTTTAACTTTGTATTTAAATTCTGATTATTATTTTGAGTGTATTATTTTTATTTGAAATGTTTCAATCAATTTATTGAAAAATCAAGTTCTTCTAACCTTATTTTCAGATATTAATGAATACATGCTGAAAATTTATAAACAGTAATGAACATTGCTAAAATTTTTGTTTGGTTTAATATTTGAGCACTATTTTAATAATCAAATATAATAAATGAAAGAAAGTAAATTTTTTTATTTTAATTCAATATGGTTATTTCAGTCAAAAAATTCAAAATATCTCCTTTATTACTGGTACATTAAAAATTGATTGTTTTTAATGAAAACCCTTAAAAGTAATTTCAATTAGGTATTGTTAAAATAATACTAACTCTTGAAAACAAATTAGATATGTCTAACTTACAAAGATTACAATAGAGTAAGTGTTTAACAAATATTTCTAAAATTTTTTCTTTTACTTTTAAATGAATTTATAATTAAATAAATTTTTGGTGAGATTATATAAAATATATTTTTTTCATTTTATAACTGCATAGAATTTGATTTTGGTTTACATTAATTAATATATATAAGTTTGGAATTGTTATATTAGAAATCATAAATACAATTTTTCATCTTTGAAAGTTTGTTTTCTTTGTAGAGTTAAGTCTTCAGACAGATTTTTTTCATATATTTTTACTTCAGTATTTTTCACTTGTTAAATAATTTTTATTTGATTTAAATGAACAAGAAGTACCTATAAAATATTCAAACAACTAATTGAAGCTTGAATTAGTTATAGCTACCATTAGTTATAATCTATTAATATATCATGAAAGAAGTATAATTTAGCTTTTAGTAAATATTTTTTAAATAATATATTTATTGCACAGTTTGGACAGATGTTAAAAGATGTTTTCAGTTAATATACTGAATAGTAAAATTATTTTAACTTTAATATAGGACATTTATGAATATATGCTAAAAATCCATAAATAGCAATAAATACTGTTAAAACTGTTGCTTGGTTTATTTGTCATATGATATGATATATGATGATGATCAATTTGAATCTATTAGTTTATTAATAGTTTAAATTTTATGGTTGCAACTTTTCCATCAGTAAGAACTAATTGAAATATCCCTGATTAGATCTATTTCTATTCATTTATTAATGGATTAATCCATATTAAATGAATAAAAATTTCAGCTTTATACTTTTGAGCATGATTAAATGAGCAAGAAATTGTGTTTATTTTCTGTTTCTGTTTATTCAGTTGTCAAATCTAGAACGTAAACAGCAAATCAAAAGATACAAGGCTAAGGCTGATGAGTCTTGTAATATTTCATTTGTTATTTTTTTTCTGGGACAATCTTGATTTGGGGCTGTCTATATAGAATATGATCATTAATACCAGAAGGTAAATTCTGATGATGATTGATAACAGTGGGGAGGGGGGTGGTTCCATGAAGATAGTGTCAGCACTATTTCACATTTTTATTTTCATAGCTGTCATGCTTTTGATGATCTTCATAAAAGACCTGCAAAATCTTTGGTTTGATGTTAAAAGAGCACAAAATATTTGCATCTATATGCCACATTCTTCTCTCACAGCTGAAGGAAAGGGCCATGTGACTACCAATACAAATTTCCTTGAAGCATGCAGAAGCTTCTCTGCAATAGCTTACTCTAATCAAGTATTTTTAGAGCCACAATAATATAATTGTAAGAATGTCATTTTTTTTTTTGGACCTCTTTATGTTGAGTTTTTGTCATAGGATGACAAGTTAAGCATCTCAATAGAACTAACAACTTCCTTATAATGCATATTTCCCATTTATTTAGTCAGTACTTAGAAAGAGCAAGTATTACTGCAAGTATTATTACATATAAAAAAATATATAAAAATACATTTATAATCATAGGCTTCANATTGAAAAATCAAATTCTTCTAACCTTATTTTCAGATATTAATGAATACATGCTGAAAATTTATAAACAGTAATGAACATTGCTAAAATTTTTGTTTGGTTTAATATTTGAGCACTATTTTAATAATCAAATATAATAAATGAAAGAAAGTAAATTTTTTTATTTTAATTCAATATGGTTATTTCAGTCAAAAAATTCAAAATATCTCCTTTATTACTGGTACATTAAAAATTGATTGTTTTTAATGAAAACCCTTAAAAGTAATTTCAATTAGGTATTGTTAAAATAATACTAACTCTTGAAAACAAATTAGATATGTCTAACTTACAAAGATTACAATAGAGTAAGTGTTTAACAAATATTTCTAAAATTTTTTCTTTTACTTTTAAATGAATTTATAATTAAATAAATTTTTGGTGAGATTATATAAAATATATTTTTTTCATTTTATAACTGCATAGAATTTGATTTTGGTTTACATTAATTAATATATATAAGTTTGGAATTGTTATATTAGAAATCATAAATACAATTTTTCATCTTTGAAAGTTTGTTTTCTTTGTAGATTTAAGTCTTCAGACAGATTTTTTTCATATATTTTTACTTCAGTATTTTTCACTTGTTAAATAATTTTTATTTGATTTAAATGAACAAGAAGTACCTATAAAATATTCAAACAACTAATTGAAGCTTGAATTAGTTATAGCTACCATTAGTTATAATCTATTAATATATCATGAAAGAAGTATAATTTAGCTTTTAGTAAATATTTTTTAAATAATATATTTATTGCACAGTTTGGACAGATGTTAAAAGATGTTTTCAGTTAATATACTGAATAGTAAAATTATTTTAACTTTAATATAGGACATTTATGAATATATGCTAAAAATCCATAAATAGCAATAAATACTGTTAAAACTGTTGCTTGGTTTATTTGTCATATGATATGATATATGATGATGATCAATTTGAATCTATTAGTTTATTAATAGTTTAAATTTTATGGTTGCAACTTTTCCATCAGTAAGAACTAATTGAAATATCCCTGATTAGATCTATTTCTATTCATTTATTAATGGATTAATCCATATTAAATGAATAAAAATTTCAGCTTTATACTTTTGAGCATGATTAAATGAGCAAGAAATTGTGTTTATTTTCTGTTTCTGTTTATTCAGTTGTCAAATCTAGAATGTAAACAGCAAATCAAAAGATACAAGGCTAAGGCTGATGAGTCTTGTAATATTTCATTTGTTATTTTTTTTCTGGGACAATCTTGATTTGGGGCTGTCTATATAGAATATGATCATTAATACCAGAAGGTAAATTCTGATGATGATTGATAACAGTGGGGAGGGGGGTGGTTCCATGAAGATAGTGTCAGCACTATTTCACATTTTTATTTTCATAGCTGTCATGCTTTTGATGATCTTCATAAAAGACCTGCAAAATCTTTGGTTTGATGTTAAAAGAGCACAAAATATTTGCATCTATATGCCACATTCTTCTCTCACAGCTGAAGGAAAGGGCCATGTGACTACCAATACAAATTTCCTTGAAGCATGCAGAAGCTTCTCTGCAATAGCTTACTCTAATCAAGTATTTTTAGAGCCACAATAATATAATTGTAAGAATGTCATTTTTTTTTTTGGACCTCTTTATGTTGAGTTTTTGTCATAGGATGACAAGTTAAGCATCTCAATAGAACTAACAACTTCCTTATAATGCATATTTCCCATTTATTTAGTCAGTACTTAGAAAGAGCAAGTATTACTGCAAGTATTATTACATATAAAAAAATATATAAAAATACATTTATAATCATAGGCTTCAAAATCCACAGTTACATTCTGTAGCATATTACTGTATTTTCATTCTATTATTATTGTATTATATTTTATAATAATGCACATTTTTATCAGCAACAGAGTAAAAATGATTATTTTATAGAAATTTAAAAGGTTTAAATAATATGTATTTATTTTACAGATATCTCAAATTAGAATTCTGAATAAATTGATTAAAATTATTTTTTTAAATGATTAAATCTATGAATTTAATGAAATATTTTTTACAGTTAAAGAAATATGATTATTATGGAAGTTATGGAAATAAAAGGCATGAAAATTATGCCTATGAAGAGAAATTAAGGCAAGATTATGCATTTGTATTCCCAAAACATCATGATGATGTAATTACAACTATTTTATTAAATTCTAATATTATTAAATGATTTAATATTATAGATATTGCCTTTAATTTTTTAATTTATTTTAATTTTTCATCAAATAAGTTTTCTGTATTAAACTGTATTTAATAAATGAAAATATATTTTTTATATTTTTTCATTTATTGAATGAAAATATATAAAAACACACAAATACATATATATGTACAAGACCACTGAATAATTCAAAAAAATATGTATCCTGCAAAAAGCTCATTAAACTGAAAAAGTTAGACTTCAAGGAACCACAAGACAAAGCTACTGAGTTTATTATAAATAGCACTACAATTAATGAAAATGGGATCAGTTTTATTTTCTTAAATATAGTTCCCATTTAAGAAAATGATTGGAAAAAGACATAGATTGGCAATGAATGTCTTGGTTGTAGAGAAAATGTGGCTGTATTTAACATGTCTTACTTTGGAAAATTTTATTTAATGGGACCAGATGCACAGAAAGCAGCAGATTGGATATTTACATAATTCTCCCATTTTCACTGAGTGTAGTGCCATTTATGATAAAAACTGATACCACCATCTTGTGGCCCCCTTGAAGTCTAATAATTCTTTTTGCAAGCTACATATTTTTCCAAGTTATTTCAGTGGATTGATAAAAATGGATCACTCTGTACGTATATATGTTTGAAATTTGTTTCAATATGTAATGTTTGAAGAATTTTTCAAACAAGTGTTTATTTGAAAATAAATTGAACTAGCAAAAGTACTTGTAAATTTTGTTAACTTTCTATAGTACATTTCTGCTAGCTATTAAAATTTTAACACAAAAAGATGGTTTTTTTACTTTATTTGTATGGTAATTTGAAATACATTTATAAATACATTTTTAATTGATTTTCTAATTGTCCTAAAATGCTTTTAACGATTAGAAAAAGTGACAATTAGGAAATTAATTCAAATCAGTTATTACTTATATCAATACTTATACATTATACAGATTAGCCAAAAAGTCTGCTATTTATTATATTACTTGTATTATGTGTGTTATTATTCCTTATTTAGTCACTTTCAATGAAATGATTGAACCATAAATAATAACATGCAGTTGTTCCTAATCAGTCAATTGATTTTAAAATAATATCTTGGTTAACTGACTTTTAATCCATTTACTGATCTATAATGAATTTAATTTAATGATTCAGACTATACTTAACATTTTTATCTATTGATATATCCATTTATAAAACTCTGACTTCTGTTAAT